TCCCCTCTCCCTGGTTTTCTGTGAGCCGCCCTGAGTCCCCTCAGGGAAAAGGGCGGCCTACAAATGCTAATAAAACCACAAAACCACAAACCACTGCTGAGCTATGGCTCTTTCATTTTCAATCATAAATGAAAATGCAATCTGTTTATTTTGCTGGAACTCTCAGAACCTTTAACTGGAGCTAGTGGCTCGTTGATAATGATTTTCGCCCCCAAGAAAATATCATTATGTTTTCCAATAATGAAAAAGAGTTGAATGCATGGCAGTAAACATAATAACAGGAAAAACAAGTAACACAAATTTTAAATTCAGTGAATAATAAAACTCAAAAGATAGTTCAGCGGGCAATTTTAAACAGACTGTATTTATTCTGGAGGTACAATACAATGTGTAAAAATATATAAGCAACTTAAGAGTATATCCCATTCATTTATTATTTAAATATAGCTACATTTCTCTTTATTTGGCATGCCCAACATACAAACATGAGGAAAAAGTTTGTTTTCATTATAAATGGGGGAGAGAGGAAGAGGAAGCATTAAGAGAAGTCTCGATTATAAAATATGGCTTTTTCTTTGTAAGACAAAGACAAACTACAATCAGTGGTAAGTAGATCTATCTACTTTTATTTTACTCAGCAAAATCAATATTTGCCAATGTAAACATAACTCCTGGATATGCAGGGTTGACAACGCAGAGCTGAAAGTGTGTCAACTATTGGAAGAGGATTACATTTTATTACTTGAACAACCATTACTTGTGAATGAGAGATTTCAACCCACATTTTGAATTTGAATTACCAAATATATGTAATTTAGAAAATGAGGTAGTACAGCCTTGAAAGAAAACGTAAGGACAGTGGGCTACAAAAAGCTCCTCTTCCCATATCTCTCAGCTAATTGTTGGTAAACTCCCAGCCATTCTGGGGAGATTCTTCTATTCTAGGTAGAACACAATAAATGTATTGACTTAGACCCTTCATAAGAAGATCTGATTGCTTGCCCCTGACACTAACCCAAGCAATCCTCCTGAACCCAAAATCACATTTTGGGAAACCCAGAACTCCCATTCATTTTTTCAGAAAGTGTCCAGTATCCCTTGAGCTCCGGTATAAAGACACTACTGACAAGCTTTCACATCATTACTAGCATATTTGTCTTTTATGAAGCCAGTTGACGCATCTTGGCCATTGCATCAAGGATTTAAGAAATGCAAGATATTTATAAATAAATAGCCTTGGTTTTTGAACTGTTCTTTCTCTCCAACTCTTTTTCCTGGAAGATTATGTACACAAAATATATCATGTCATGGGGTTAAGTGTTTCCACAGGATGACTCACTGAATAGCATTACTTTAATCCTTTATATGTTTGCATCAGCTCAGCATTGAATTTAACTCCCTGTGGATTAATTCACTGGATCAAGTGACTATTTTTTTATATTCTCACAACACATGAATCCTCTTATGGATCCAGGTAAGTGTGGAATTCACCCATTGGTGAACAATACAACCTCTCCAATTTTTCACTTGAAATAGGAGTGCACACTTATAATAATGTTTACCTCTGTATGGCTAAAATACTTCACTTGCTGATTTCTGCCCATTAAGTTGTATTAAATAGATATGAACAGGAAATTGTATTTTTCTCATAAATTGGTGACCCCATCCAGAAGTTCCCAGATGACTTTGCAATAGCCATTAGTATGGATTATTGTGGAGAAATTTCTTCTTGGATATCATTAACAGAAATGTGTGGATTGGCTAGCCTGAATTTTTGTGGGGTTGTTGTGGCAAATTCAGAATTGGTAGGTGCCTCTTTGGGATAATGAGTGGCTCACTGTTGAATGGCTCATCTCCCCTTCTGCATTGCCATCATCTCTCAGACACTGATTACAGTTTTGTAGCATAATCAGCAATATGTTGTCTTCTAAGGCTAGATTGGTTAAATTTAGCAACTCTAGGCAGCAAAAAATATTGATAATTAATCAGCACAAACTACCCATGTCTATTATGACTGCAGCTATCACAGACTGCTGGCCATTAAGTGTTTGAGGTCTGTAATTTGCACATACATACAGGCACACTTTCCCCTCTCTGAGCCTTTTTATTGTACAATTTTCTATTTCACCTCTCTGACATTGATCTTTCCTCCAGATTTCCCAGGCAACAATCCTTAAAAGTCATCCAGGATATGGAACAGCCTCTTAACTGATCCTTTTGTATTTGGAATGTTCTGAAGTTTGGATTAATAGGACTTTTAAATTGGGTGAATTTTGTCAGTCCATTGCACAGTCTGGAGTTAGTCATTTTCCTATACCTGTATCTTTTCTCCACTGACATTGGATGGGAAGTACATGAACATCAGGCTCAGCCTTTCACCCTGCAGGTATCAGCAGCCAAAATCTCATTGGCACTGGCTAGAGACCAATGCCAGCAATCACTTTATTGTTCCATAAGCATAAAAAAGAAAATAAAAGAAAGCTTGCGTATTTTGTGCTTTCCCTGACTTGGAAGGTACAGCAAGTAGGACCTTTGGCTGCAGATGTTGGTGAAATCTATGCAGGAGTTTTGAGCAGGCTTTCGCAGAAACCTTTTTGTTCATTATTTTCTTCTTTCAGGAAAGGAAAATATTCCAGATCAGGGCAAATTGCTAATGTGGCAGAGTGTGCTGCTTAATATCCTACAGTATTACCTGACTTTGGGTCTACAAAAAATATAGAAATGTCCCTTTCAATTTGGAAACAAGATATTAAAGATAATTTTGATGACTTTCTTAGAAATATTGACTATGATCTGATGCCTCTGAGAGATATGGTACACTATCAAGTTTTAGCATTGAAATGTTCTCAAGAATCTTCACATGTAACTTTATACTTTACACTAATATGTGTATGCATGTGTGGGTGGTGATTGGTTGGCTGACTCTTTAAGTCTCTGTGCTGTAATGGCGTTGGGGCCAAAAAAAATTAAATTGAAGGTAGAAACTCCAATGGCAACAGCACTTAAGACTTATATACTGCTTCATAGTACTTCTCAGGCCACTCTAAGCAATTTGCAGACTCAATATATTACCCCCAATTTGGGTCCTCATTTTACCAATCTTGGAAGGATGGAAGGCTAAGTCCACCTTGAACCAGCGAGAATTGAACTGCTGGCTGTAGGCAGAATTAGCCTGCAATACTCCTGTGCCACCACCTTGGGAATCTTGATGTACTAGGGCAAGGGTGTCAAACTCATGATGGCACGTTGTCACATGATGTATCACTGTGGGGGTGGGGCCAGAGTTTGACACCCCTATATTAGGGAGACCATGAGATGTTATTAAGATGTTGTATAAAAGAAAATAGTGGTCAACAACTTTTTAAAGGTTATTTTATGTTATTTTAGCAGGTGTTTGGTAAAAATTACTCAGAAATATATTTTTATTGTAGGATAGAATTGTTCTAAATTAAGTCTGTGTGTGTGTGAGAGAGAGAGAGAGAGAGGGAGGGAGGGAGGGAGGGAGGGAGGGAGAGAGAGAGAGAGAGAGAGAGAGAGAGAGAGAGAGAGAGAGAGAGAGAGAGAGAAATAACAACCATTGGTAAGCAGTAGAATATTTTAAATAATTGTTTTATATTAGCATTATCATCTTGGTAATCAAAATATCAATTGAAAATTATGCCTAATAGAGTGGGCCATTTTTAGATCAGCCCTCTGGTTCTCTCTCTTCTAAATGGATCTGGAACTGAGAGAATTTCAGAAGTCTATGATTTGGGAAGCCTTTTAAAAGAAGGACAGACGTCTGCAAAGGAAGACATGCAGCCAATCTAAAAGATGAACATCTCACTAGCTTTAAAAAGTTATAATTCTTTGGAATGATAAAAAATCATGTCAGCAAGCCAGGATTGTTCTAACCTCAGCAACTTTCAGATGGATGGATTTCAACTTCTAGAATTCTCCAGCCAGAGTTAGGGTTAGGGAAATTCTGAAAGTTGTAACCAACCCATCTTAAAAAGTTCTGAGGTTAAGAAACACAGTTCCAGGCCTATACTTGCAAAACTAATACATACTGATAGAAAGGACAAGTACGAAGAACAGTTCTTAACTATGGCGCTTCAGTGACTAAAGCAATAAACTGGAATGAGAACACCGTAGAGAGGGGAGGGAGATATTTAGGCAAGCATGTGTGTCATTGTAATAAAGCCTGCCAGGTGATCATTTCCAAAACTTCACATTCCTTGATTAGCACAGCTCGAGCACAATGCAGCATAAAGATTCAAGCAAATGTCTCCTGGAGGTTGAGCAATTTAAATTGACTAGCAGGGAATTATATCTGATACCACGCCTCCCCACACACACACACACAGACACAAAGCAGAGTTGGGTTATGAATTGCTTTAATGTAATGAAGCAACCAAACATAGTTTGGCTCCTGATAGTGGAAAAGAAATCACTGTGACTTGCAGTTTCCACTCCTGATGAATGACAGTGGGCCATCCATAGCACACAGCTTCCGGCAGACGTTCCAACTCTGTGTGTTCCTAAACTCTCTCAGCCTTTCCAAAATAAAAATTCCAACCAATTTTTTATTTAACAGTCCAAGATTTCACTACGATAAAAATTGTAACCTATAGCAAAGGGATTCCTTATCACTGCAGATTGAGGACTGCTGTTTTCCTTGTTAAAATGGGAACTGCTGGTTTATAAGGCAATAGACGACTCCTTAGCTCAGTCCAGAGGTGGTATTCAGCAGGTTCTGACCAGTTCTGGAGAATTGGTAGTGGAAATTTTGAGTAGTTCAGAGAACCAGTAAATGCCACCTCTGACTGGCCCCACCCCCATCTATTCTCTGCATCCCAGGCCCCAGCTGATTGGGAGGAAATTGAGATTTTGCAGTAACCTTCCCCTGGAGTGGGGAGGAAATAGATATTTTACAGTATCTTTCTCCTGCTACGCCCACCAAGCCATGCCACGCCCAGAGAACCGGTAGTAAAAATAATTGAATCCCACCACTGGCTCAATCCCACATGGTCCTTGGGGGAAATGACATGGAAGAACATGAAACCTGGAATCCTCCCACAGGAGAATTAAATCACAGGCATGGTTAGGGAAACAGCTCAGGTAATTTAATCTTTCACATGCATAAAACAATATAGATGTTCTTTCTTTCAAAAGTCCAATGCTTGCAATCTATTGAAATAATAACAAGGACAACAGCAATAGCATTTAACAAATCATATTACCAGGATTTTCCATAGTACCAAGGATAAATACATGTCTAAATTTAAAAAAATCACAGGCAGCAATCCTTACAACTGACCCCCAAAGTAGTTTGATTTAACATGAATATAATTATCCCAGGGCTTTGTTTGCAACCTCTTACATCATTGAAAATCCTACCTGATTCACTTATCTTTGACTTTAACCCTGAAAATAACGAAGCGTAGATCATGGAAAATTGTTTACCCCATTTTTTGCCAGTTGCTGCTTGCCCATGCAAGGCAGGGGCTTTAGTGCCTGAGGTATAGGTAGTTCCTGGATGCTTTTAGGGAAATGAGAGGGTGGGAGAATCTGGAGGATGGTTTGCATAGCTTGGAGGTACAAGGATGCAGGCGTATTCCCCACCAGGCAGTTGAACTTGTCCTCTCCAAGCAGCACTGCCCAGGGTTCAGGATGCTCCTGCAAGACCTTCTGCATCTTAAAGCGGGGGCTAGGCATGAAGAGCAAGAGGTAGTCGAGGCAGAGGTTTTTGGAAGCCACGTTGACTTTGGAATCCCACATCTGTTCTAGGATGACATCCAGTGGAGTGAGCCCTTTGTTGTCTTCTATCCTAGGACAAGCTCCGTTTCCTAGCAAGATGAGAACAGTCTCTGATCTCAGGAGCTCACAGGCCAGGTGCAGAGGGGTCTTGCCATCTTCAAGATGAAAACAGCCGGTCCTATTGATGTAAGAGTTCAGGCTAGGCAGCTTGTGTGCGATGCTGATGATCAGCCCCAGGATGTCCCTCCTGTCATAGGTTACAGCCATTGCTAAATGAGGAGCAGAGGATGGGCAATAGCAAAAATGTTCTCCAGGAACTTTGAGAGCTTCTTCCGGAAAATGAGACAGCAGATACTGGGCATAAGGCAGGTGATTATGCACCACAGCATACAGCAATGCTTCTGAAGGGGAATAGGTTCTCATGTTAGCACTCTCCTCCCAGTAGAAATATTCCATAGTCCTCATGTCCTCTAGCAACCACACAGGTTTGTGATCTCGGACAGCCTGGTAGAACATATAAGATAGAAACTTGCAATGCCTGCTCTGGGCATCCTGTAAACTGGATACATTACCACTGGCCATATTTTGAGTCTCTTTTGTGCAAAAATGAATAAGCACAAGAGCAGCAGTAGTAATAATTCTCCGCGCAACGGAAGGTTGGCTTTCAGTTTCAATGCAGGCTCCAGAGGCTGCTGCACCTTCAGGCTGTCATTGCAGCAGCTTGCTCTGGACTGCACCAGCCAGAATGCATAGCTCTGCTCTCATCTCCACCCATTCACTGCTTTCTCTTGCTCACTGCGGTGATTTTGTTGAAGTAAGCACAATCACGCCAGCTCAGTTAACCATTGATATGCAAGCAAGCAGCATGTGAAATCAGCTACCAGATTAGAATGCCAACAATTGTGATTTTAAAAAAACAAACAAACATAAAGAAATCTGATTAGAGGGATCTGTTTAGAGAAGATTATGATTCCCTTTGAAATGAAAACCACTGTTTGACCTGGGTGAAAATCCTTGGTTTTTTTTTTAGATGCTCCTTAAATAATGTCCATGATAATTTGGTCTCTTTATGATCCAACCTAGTGAACTCAAATATAAATTTCCATTTTACCCTGATAGATTATTGAATAATAGCCCTCCAGCACAAGCTTGTATACATCTGGCTACAGTAGCTGTGGGTTTGAGAAAATTCTGCTGTTCTGGGAAACTGGATGTGCAAATCTTTAAAAAGTGACACATGTAGCTAGTAAAATGAAGATTTTTGTGATGCAACGTGTAGGGATAAGATGCAAAGTGATGTTGTTAAGCAAGGCTAACATTCTGGATCTTCCTGGATTTGGAAGGGAGTAGTTTCTCACCGTTTCATTTTCACATTAACCTACTTTACAGATTAGTCCACACTTGGTGTATTTTCTGCCTTAGAATGGTGGAAAATCATATGGCTCATTTTTGCCACTAGAGCCGTGACAGGTTTTTCAGCAGTCATTTTATTGGTCCTCAAATGCCCCTAATTTGCACAACCAAAATTTGGTTGCAAAATCTCTGATTTTTGTGCCATGATTTTTTGTTCCTTTCTTTCCTTCAAAGTGTAGAATTGGGGTGCTTATTTTCTACATCTAAATGCTACCAAAAAGTGTTTCTGCCTTACCCTCTTTTGCCACCACTAAACCACTGAACACGCGTGTGTGCGCGCACACACACACTCTTTGAAGACCCTAAGAGCTCCTCCTTTTCTTTTAAGTGAGAACTAACTTAGAAAGTTGCTCATTTCTGCTAGAATGTGCTCGTTTATTATGGGGGATTTTATATATAAGAAGGGAACTTTTACATGGAAATAAGAAAAATCCAAAGTAAGTTTGAAGACTATTGAATATAAATATAGAAAAAAGTCTAGAAAAAAATGAACGGAATCAGAGCATTCCTCATTTTTCTCATCTATAACTTATATTAGCTTATTGAAATTTGGAAATATACAAAAATATTTTAGTTACTCTTTAGTTACTCCTTTCCTCCTCTTTTCTCAATGTTACTGTATATAAGCACTGAACAGAACTTCCTTTAATTGTATGATATTATAAACTACAATATTTTAATACCCAACATAAACATCTTCATCATAAAGTATACATGACAACATTTTTATGGAGTAACAGCCAGTTTTTCGGGCATTTCTGAAACACATTGCCTATTAGATGTTTACAATGGTGTTACTCTCCACCAGTGGAAAGGATACACCCATGTTTTGCAGAGCAGAGTCACCATGATGATGCAGATGAGAAAATAGCCTGGAGAACCCACAATGCAAGTGGGAAGGTCTGCTCACAAAATTTGCCTCCTGCAAAGTATTAAGCTAATTAAAGTGAGTGGCATCATCTGTAAAAAAAAACATAATAAGCCAATTTATAGAAACCACTTAGGTTTTTCTCTGTTCATGTGTTGTAGTATAGAATAAAAAGTAAAGGCAAAGGTTCCCCTCGCACATATGTGCTAGTCGTTCCCAGCTCTAGGGGGGTGATGCTCATCTCCGTTTCAAAGCTTAGTAGCTAGCACTGTCCGAAGACGTCTCCGTGGTCATGTGGCCAGCATGACTAAACGCCAAAGGCACACTGAATGCTGTTAGCTTCTCACCAAAGTGGTCCCTATTTTTCTACTTGCATTTTTACATGCTTTCGAACTGGTAGGTTGGCAGAAGCTGGGACAAGTAACCGGAGCTCACTCCGTTACATTAGGGATTCAAACCGCTGAACTTCCCACCTTTCTGATCGACAAGCTCAGTGTCTTAGCCACTAAGCTCCCACATCCCTTGCAGTGTAGAACACAGCATGCCAAACTCAGTAAATTCAACTATTCAAGAGTGTCTTCCTTTTATTACCATGGTTTTCATTCTTCTTTAAATAGACTATTCTATGCATTATGGACTATGCATTTTGGACTGTGACTGTATTTTTAGTGAAAAATAAATAAATAAGGAAAACAATTTTTGTTGTTATGCAGTTACAAAGTCATGTCTGACTCTTCATGGATTCTTCAAATGCCACAGCACACCATCCCACCCTGTCCTCCACTGTCTGCCTAGTTTATATCCATTTCCTCGGTGATACTTTATAATCAAAGAAAAGAATAGCTGTTTTCAACTAATTCTGTCCATTTTTTCCCTTTAAGTTCCACCTATTTTTCTCCTTTTACTCCATTTTTTAAATTGTCTGTTTTTCCACGTTTGCTTGTATAACATTACAAGAGTTTTCTATATGGTAGCTCTTTGCTGCAACTTAATGGTTTTCTTGACTTCTATAACCAAATATGATATCTTTAGCTGAGTATGAATTCATTTGTTTCTAAAACCAAATATCTAGACTATATGGTGGAAAGGAGAATAGATTCTCCAGTTCGTGCAAGGTGTTGACAAACTCAAAAATCTTCAGCCTGAAAAGTCATCTTTTATACTAGACACACAAAAGGTTTCAAAATAGAGTTTTCCATAGAGTTTTCTCTATACTTTACCAGCTCTTGCTTCTCATATCCAAAGCTAGGACAGAGAGAGTATGATGATGAGATCATATGTCAACATACTAGAGGTGCCTGGATCTTGTTTTACAATTCAAAATGATCCCATGGCACATTATATTCTGCTCCTATAATGGGCTCAGAGGCAGCAAAATGCATTTAATGAAACAAGAAGGCATTGTTGGTTGGTTGTCACGAGCCCATTTGTGCTGTGGAAGGGTATATTAGAATAAATCCCTTTGCAAGTTTCTGCTCCAGCACAAATAGAATTCTGACTGCCACTACACAACTATTTGTTAAAGTTTGGGGGGTATAATTCTATTGAATTGTTTTCTTATTTTATTCCTTTCATAGAAAACCAAGTTCTCATTAGCTGCTTGGAAATCTATGAGGAGCCTGACTACTTAGAGCAGGAAAAAACAATTTAGGAGGTGGATTCCTTGTGATCCCTTATAACCAGAGGTGGGTTGCTCCTGGTTCGGCCCGGATCAGTCGAACCAATAGTAGCGGCGGCAGGAAGCTCCACCCGCTTACCCAAATGCACACGTGCAAGCATGATCACGAGCATGAGCAAAGCAGTAGCACCAGAATTTGAAACCCACCTCTGCGTATAACAGAGATTATCTTATATGATTCTGCTAATTTAGATAAATCTAGGCCAATAGACCAGTAGTCTGAATTAGTATTTTGTATATACAAATCTCAAATCAACTTGAGTACTCTTTCAAACGGTTCAAACTAATCTTTTGATCATCTACAATACCAAATACTTCACAGCAGCTGAAAGAAACTTCAAAAACAGATTGGCGTAAGCAGTTATTACTGGATTTCCCAGTGTATTTAAATATATATTATGATACTTAATATTACTTTAGAGCACTTTGTCTCATGGTATCAATAGATAAATGGATGAGTCAGGAATTTTAAATTACAGAAAATAACATAATGTTCACTGCTAATGCCAAAAGAGGCCTATATCCACAGTGAAGTCTATCAAATATATATATCATAAATAAGGAGAAACATATATCCTATTCTATTGCAAATGTTAAATTATCCAATTAGCTCTAAATAGCAGAATTAGAAGAGACCAGACTGTTTCTGCTGATTAACTTCATGGCAATCTCCCTATTTTTTTAAGTGTTAGGTCAATTAAAATGACAAAGATGATTATGGATTCCAATAATGAAAATGTTACTCCCATTCTGATAATCATTAAGGACATGAAAGATTATGTTGAGTCTATTTAGATATTTCTTGTGACCAATGCAGAGGTGGGTTCCTACCAGTTCGCACCTATTCGGTAGAACCGGTTCGTCAAATCTACCGAACCGGTTAGAAGAGCTTCCACCCGTGGACCCGGAAAGCAGGCCACACCTACAGGAGAGGTCCCAAAAAAATTTGAAACCCACCACTGGTCCTTGGACATGGTTATTCTACACTATCATGCTCCTATTTATAAAACTCAGTGCCTCTGTGAAAGGTAAGGATGACTACTGCGTTTGTGGTGCAATCAGAACATTGCGTGTGTTGAAGTTGTTTTAACGCAAACCAAAGATGCCTTTTAAAAAACAAGCTTACATCATATTCTTATGCATGCCAGTGCTGTGTGTGAGGTGATTTAAGGTGGTTCTGACAAGTGTCATCGGCATCTTCATATCCGGTCACATGGGTGGCAAGCCACTCCCACAAAGGAGGCCACACCCACAGAGTATGTTCGAACAATTTTTGAAACCCACCACTGGACCAATGCCTTATGTATATCAAAAAGGTGTACGATAATAATTTCCCTCTAACAAGGGGAGCCAAACTTTATGCTTCTTACATAGGACAAGGATGGCTCCAGATAGTTTAAATTGTTTAATTAAATACTTTCACAATTGGCCTCCTTTAATTGTATTTGCAATTTTTCATTCTGGCATATTATGTTATATTATGAAATAAATGAAATAAGCACCTTATGTTTTGATACTTCTTCCACACAGATTCTGTTCATATATCAATAGGACGAAAGCCCTAATAACATTTAGTGACAAAGATACAAAAAGATTTAGAAAACCCGAAAGCAGCAGATACATAAGACAGTATAAATGATTTCCCCTTTCTCCAGAGATGGCACAAATATTGGGTTTTAGGCACACAACTTTTAATAGGCTGAAAACACAATTATTGGATGAACAGGATGCTTGAGTTACATGGAACTGGCTATTTTTTTAATTGTCCAGTTGCACAGCATGAT